ATGTATATACTATATGTATATACTATAAATATATTTATATACTATGCGTATATATTTACAAAAACACAATAACAAGAWGAAGAAGAAAGATTCTTCAGTAGGGAAACACAATAATATTTGATATTGATAAGAAGCAGAGGCGGGGGCAGAGGCAGAGGCAGATGCGAATGACTCCGACTGYTTTGTTATTTTTGTTATTTTTAGACTTGGCATGCTGTAAAAATAAAAACACATTTTATCAAACCGAAATGATATTCCATAGACGATATGGGTAATACTTTGGATATACATATACATACATATATATACATATACAGGAAAGAGCTAAGCAAAAAGGCTAAATCTAATTTGAATGCAGGAATGGGTTTACATTAAATAACTTGCGGATGTATCTCATATAAAACTACATATATATATTTATATGCTTACATATATAACCATATTTCATTTGATATCAACAATTCAGATATAGCCATTTTACTTGACTCTTTCCTGTATAAAAATTTCGAGCCAAGTATTACTCATATGGTATATGTAGTGTCACTTCTGTATTATAGAGTTATATAACTCGTTGAATTACTGTAGAATCCGGTTGTAACGACGATCCCTGGAGCGGAAAACGCTATAACCATATAACTTTATCTGAGGACCAGAATTTTCGGCGCTACTAGATCTTATTTAGTTTTCTTTCTTATTGGGCTTTCAGCACTACCAAATTCTTTCTTCTATGGCGTTTTCTTATGAAGCGTTCAGCTCTACCAAATCAGTTCACATTTTGCTTCAAAGCTTCTATAAGTTGTTCCTATAAATTTTTTAGCCGCACCAAATGCATAATTTCTTGGCTTCAAAACACCAAACTTTTGTTCTTCCTAACGATATAAGCTTTATGGTTCTATTACACCTTTCTATGCATTTAAAGCTAAAAAAGGAAGTTGAATTCTCGCTATAGAAGAGCCTTAATCAAGTTACCCCATTAATATATTTGTTATATAATATACTTGTTGGGCCCATATCAAGAGAGTTGAAATTGGATTTTAGTGACTATAATATTTCATATATATGTAAATATCCTTACACATTGCCCAGGTAATACATAATATATGACATAAGGTCTATATAATAATAGTCTGTAATATCACAGAGATAAATACATATATAATACAGCCACAAGCAACAAAACTTCTATATTCCCTATACATATAAGAGTTTTCCTAAGTATTTCTCATAATTTTATATTACATTATATACATAATATATAATATTCCTATTTCATTGGCTTTAGATGATTTTCATCGCATCCAGCTCACGTATTCGCTCCCTGCTCGCCATGGTAGTGTGTCTGACAGTCGGTCTGTCCCTGGTGGCCAGCACACCGATCGCCTTCACACCCGAGGAGCTGGAGGTTAAGCATCGCTGCAGCAAAGATCTAGATGAGACCATACACTATATATGTAAGGGGCGCACCGTATCGCTGGCCGAGCTCTATCGTAAGTCGATCATATCGGTATAGAGTTATAATTGATCACTAATTCTAAACTCTCTTTCGTCGCGTGCAGCCCAAAGCTTTGGCAGTCGGAGCAAGCGTTTCGCCGCCGACGGCACCTACTATAGACCCATGCAGAACGGACCCATCCACGTATGCTGTTTGCGACCCTGCGGCTATCCCGAGATACGTCAATATTGTGCGCCCGACTAAGGCACGAGATATGTGCACTCATATATATACATATATATATATATTAGGCAATGCCCACACACAGACACACACACACACATTATATTTGAATAGACACACACATACACACACCCATACACTAAGTATATTGTACTAATTTAAGCTATGCACTAATAAAAATTTATACAATTATGAGAGCGCAATGCGATCCACT